GGCAGCCATCTTGTGAGGGCATGAGGGAAATTTTGCCTTTTACCACTTTATTATATAGGATGTAATAGTATATAGGCACATAATAATGCATGCACATTTATGTACCCAACTTAACATATATGTATTTTGCAAAATCAGGATTATCTCTCAGAGTTTTCCTGGAACTTGCTTTTCCTCCCCATGTCAGGATCCCTACATTCCTACCTAGTAGTTAATTATGTGGCTGAGCCATCATTTATTTGACTGTTTCTGTGCTGAGGAAGGAATAGTAGTTCTCTAGCCAGCACATGAGGAACGCGTGGGAAACGCCCCTCCGCAGTCCCGCAGCTTGTTCATGCAGAGCGAGCTTTGTTTTCCCTGAACGTCTGTGAGATTCCGATGCCTCCCTTGCTCTGCATGGGACCTGCTTACTGAGCCCGCAGTGCTGCCGCCTGCCACGAGAGGCCGCTGGTGAGACACGCCCAAGCAGCAGGTTGGGCAGAGAAAGGCTACAGGAAGCTAGAAAATGTTTCCTAAAGAAGAAACCACCGTCACATCTTCACCAAGAGAAGCCAGGGGAACAGATATTCTTGGGGCTTTGAATATGTTTGCAAAATGCCTTGAAAACTGAGTGAGGGTACGGGGGGGGCGGGGGAGGAGAAAAATCACGGAAACATACATAGCTGGTCGGAAGCTGTGGTCTGGAAATGATGGAAGTCATAATAAGCATTTGTCAAGGGTTTATGGTTGACTATTACTTAATCCTCATAACAACGCTTTATAAAGGTAACAATCATGTTCCTATTTTACAAACTAAGTGACAAAATCTCGTGGCCTTTGTGAGCTTCAGTTTTCTCCTCTGCACTTGGGGCCAGCGGGACTGATGGCAGAGATGACAGATCTGTGATGGAACCGGCCAGGCCAGGCTGTAGTGGCTGCTCCCAGAGAATCCCAGGGCTGTCTCTCATGCAGACCAGCTGTGCTCTGGTGCACCTGCCGGAGCCTGTGGCCTCCAAGCCCTGGGTCTCCTCTCCAGGAGAAGAGACAGCGCATCACGACTGCTTTTTAGTCCCTCCGCTTGACAGTGACACGTCTTCTCTGCACCCATTCATTGTCTACAAGTGTTGTGAGGGGCTGAGAAGCACTCTGTGTGCAGGAAGGGAGGACACTGGCTGTGGGAAAACACTAGCCACGTCTTGTACAACACCCACTGGGCAAGTGCTTCCTGAGTCCCTGCTCATGCAGGGAGCTGGGGCATGAGGATGGAGCCAAACACAACGTAAGCTTCCACTTAAGACAAGGTCAGGAGGAGGAGGTTGTGGCTGTGTGGCTATGTATGTGGGCAGGTTGTATTTTTCAGAGGCCCCAGTGTCCCACCTTCTTATTCACACCCTCTGTATTTCCCTCCTACACTGACGCAGCTTGGTCTGTGTGACCAATGGCATAGGGAAGAAGTGATGCTATTCCACTTCAGAATTAGATTTAAAAAGGCGTGACACCTTCCTTCTTGTTCGCATTCTCTTTCTCTCCTGACCCCTTTCTCTGGGGGAGCCAGCTGCTGTCAGGCAGGTCAAAGAGACCGCAGCTCAGGAAGGAAGGCTCCTGGCACGCGCACGCAGGGGTAAACCTGGGGACGGAACCCCTGCTCCATGCAGCCTGCAGATTGATATAAAAGAAAACGGGGGTCCTTTCCCCACTGGATGCTGGGGGTGGAAGCCTTACAATATCTCAAGGAAAAGAATTTTCTGAATCTAGCCTGGGAGAATGAGTGATTTTTATTTGCATGGGTTTCCTTAGTCCAGTCATGGAAGTGGAGCTGGGGCCTCAGTGAAGTTAGAAGCAGTGCCAGTGGCCAGAGTTTATTTCCATGTTGCAGCCAGGGCCTCTTCAGCATTAAGCTGGCTGAAGTCCATTAGTCCAGTGTGTGGGGTCCTCATGGCCATGGGTAATGGGGGTGAATGCAAGGGAGCCCCACAAACCCAGAGTCACCCAACTCCCAGGAGTCCCAAGAGCAGTAAAAGCACAAGAGAGGGAACTCCTTTGTTCAGGGGAGTAAATAGCCCAAGTTTTGTGCCCCTATAGTGGCCACACCCATGCTGACCTTTGTTCTCAGCTGTGACTGACAGCAAGCACCTTCCCGAGTCCCCCCAGCTTCACTGGGCATGCGGCTGCCTCTCCTCTGTTGGCCGCTGGGAAGTATGAAACGGCAGCTCCTGGTGAAGCTCCCGGGTGACATGCCTGTAGTATCTGGCCTTCGCTCTGCTCCTTCCTGTTATTAATAACCAGCTAATGGTGCCAGGTCAGGATGACTGTAGCTCCAGCCATTGGGCTGTAACCTCACAAGAAGCCTTGAGCCAGAACAACGCAGCTCGAGGATTGCTGACCCTGAGGAACTATCTGTGATAAATGCTTTTGGTTTTGAGCTACTAAGTTTGTTATAAGGCAATAGGCAATACATACACATCTACATACGTAATATGTATGTTCATATAAAATAGGGTATGAGACATGTAATGCTATGTGACATCTGAGCCTTGGTCATAGAAAGGAGACGGCTCTGCTTCGTTCTTCTTGGGATGCCTGCCCCAGAGCCTGGCCACTGCACTGTGATGAAGCCCAGCTAGCCTGCACGGAGAGACGACACGCAGAGGTCCACGCAGAGAGGGACCAAGTCCCAGCCAGTAACTCCCCTCTCCCACCAGACATGTGAGCAAGCGAGCTTCCAGGTGATTACAGCTCTCCCCTTCCAGGCTTCCAATTGAGGCCCAGATACTGTGGAGCAGGGTCAAGCTGTCCCTTCTGGGCCTGTCCACACTTCTGGACCAGGGGACCCATGAGCATAATAGATAAAAAATTACTAAGTTTTGGGGTAATTAGGAGCAAATTATATGGATGAAATCATTGTAGATACGTGTGAAGTTGTGCCACATTTTGAATTTCCTGATGCCTTTACCCATTTGATGGCTCATTTCCTCAGGTCTTTGTTAGACCAGTGAAGTTCAACTAAATGAAGGAAATTATACTTGGGTGTTAAAATTTGGGCAGGACCTATGGTGTCACCCGTTTTTTTCATACTCGGACTGTGGTGCCAGTTTTGATTTAAAATCTTGGCTCTTACACACTCACTGAATTCTCAGTTCCAATGTTTTTGTAGTAAAGGTAAAACACACTCATGGTAGATGAATACACAAAGGGGACAAATGATGCTTGCTCTGCAGAGTGTACCTATGTGGTGGGTCAGGTCATCTGTATATTTTCTCATTCTACAAAGATTCTTGGAACATCTAGACGTGTGGTAGTGTGTTAGCCGAGGGTCAGCAGCGGGTTTCTCCTCAGCCATAGGGAAGGTGGAGGGGAGGTTATGCCACTGCTCAGAGCTGTAAGTGCCAACGCAGAGCATTGTGGGAATATCCAAAGTTTCTTATAATAACTTCCTGGGAAGTGCAAAGTCACATACCTCAGGGTAAAAAAAAAAAGCTACTCGCTATCATTATTCCTTTGGAAGTCGCGTTGTGGGTGAGCTTTATTTAAGTAGAATTTATTTTAAATCTGCTTAAATACAATAGGTATGGTGGTGATCCTTACCATCTACATTGTAGATCTTTAATATTTTAAAGTTTTATTTATCTTTGTCATCTCCTGAAATAGAAGCTGAAAATGGCAGCTGGTTGATTTCCTGGACTCTCCAGGAAGCTTGGGATCGGACATGTGATTTAGGTTTGGCTCCTCTTTGCTCCTGCCCCAGACTCAGTATTAGAAAATAGTGGGACACAGAGAGGGGAATGGCCACCAATCCATTCTGGCAGGGACAGTGGGGCAGCGACAGCCCATGTGTGTGTGTCTTTGCCATGGAGGAAGTGTCAACAGGAGTGTCCAATGTTTGCAATCAGCAGCAATTCCTATATGCAGAGTGAAAATGTAAATGGCCTGAATATTTTATTTAAAAGACATAGACTGATAAAGGTGGATAAGCTTCCAGAAGACAGGATGGTAAGGATCAAGTTGTTAAGGAAACCAGTGGACCTGGGACCTCCTGCTGCCCCTCCAGGGATGACGGTGGGTGCTGTGCAGGCACCACTGCTCCGGGGCCTGCCAGCATGTGCTGTTTGCTTTCCTCCATTTCTGTCATTTGTGTTCTGTTTCTTTGTCTCTGCATTTTGGCTCCTTCCCTGTGTTGATAGAGTGGCTTTGTGTGCTAGGTGTCCTGTAGGGCCCAGTGGCTCAGCCTCCCCAGTTACCTGAGGTGGACACTCTTGGTGCACCCCTTTGTGGATTGTGTGCACAGTCTTGTAGTTAAGCCTTGATTGTTGTTGGTATCACTGGGAGGAATTGACCTCCAGGACATAATCTAGCCTCTGCCTGAGGCTACCCAGCAGGAGCTCAGCTGTGAAGCAATGCAAGTTGCGGTGGGGCCTTGGGCCAGCTGCAGTTTGTTAGGTAATTTTCAGATTGCAAAGGGCCAAGCCATTCATATGCAAAAGCCTCTGCACACAGCTTGCGTGGGGCTGGGTTTCAGGGAATCAATAGGGTGGAGCAAACAGCTATGGCTGATCCTCAGCCCTGCCCTAAGAGGCCCCTGGGTCTCAGTGTCCCGTCTCAGCGTCCCATGGTAATCGCTGCCAGCACCTCTGAGAGAAAGCCCCCCTCAAGTTCTGCCTGATGCCAGACAGTCCAGTTTCTCCCCGTATGGGTCTGGGTCCCCAGAGATTCGCCCGGAACTGGAATTCAGAGCAGTGGAGAGATTGAGACTCCCTCCCGATTGAAAAAGACACTGGCATCCTCCGTTGCCAGCACTTTCTGAGTGCACGTGCCTCCATACCTCTGCACTTTACTTCCGCACCTCCTCTGAGTCTCAGTGTGCTCTTCTCTTTCCTTCTAGTTGTAGAATTTCCACTCAGCCAGCTTTCCCGTGGTTCTGGATGATATCTGTCTCATCTTTTAGTTGTATTTTTGAAGTGGTTGTGCGAGGCAGCAATTTCAGGTGTTTACCTATGCTCCCATCTTGGTTTTTCCCCAAATAACCATCTTAACATTACAGATTTAAAGTGTTCCCAATGATCTGTCTTTTTTTGAAAACTTTTATATGACTATATAAGCAGTATATATACATTAGAAAAGAAGTCATAAAATTGTAAATGAAAAAATATGCTCAGGGACAACAGTTCTGGTGTATTTAGTTATTTTTCTTTTTTTATGTTAACATCAGAAATAGGATCAGATCCTTCATTCCCTCTTGTCTGGCTGATACTTAGACTGAATTACTTCTAAAATAGGGCCTGACCAGCTTTTCCAGTGAGAGACCAGCTGGCAACTGTTTCAGGCTCTGTAGGCTGTACATTTCAGTCACTTACCTCTGCTTTTCCTGTGGAAGCAGCCGTAGAAACATGTAAACAATTGGTGTGCCTGTGTTTCAATAAGATCTTTATTTATAAACACTGGAATCCAAATTTTATGTGATTTTTCACATCACAAAATATTACTCTTGATTTTATTTTTCCAACTATTAAAATGTATGGCCACTTCCTTGTAGGTAACTAACTGCTTTTCTCTTGCTCCTTTTAAGATTCTCTCTTTGTCTTTTGCCCTTGGCATTTTAATTATGATATGTGTTGGTGTGGGCCTCTTTGGGTTCCTCTTGTTTGGGACCCTTTGTGCTTCCTGGACTTGTAAGTCTATTTCTTTCACCAGGTAGGGGAAGTTTTCTGTCATTTCTTCAAATAGGTTTTCAATATCTTGCTCTCTCGCTTTTCCTAAAACCTAACTAAATATCATAACCATTATTTTCATGTCAACACATATAGATCTACTTTATTCTAACTGTACAGTAGTCCATTGCATATTTCTATCATAATGAATTAGGAGCATTTAGTTTGTTCCCAAGTGTGTGTGTGGTTTTTCTTTCCTATCAAAATAGGTTTTGGTAAAAATTCTGTATCTTTGTCTTTGAGGATTTGTCTTTAGCACTTTCCCAATTTCCCTCTTGAAAGTTTGTTCCATTTGTTCTGTCCTCACCGTGTTCATGTGTTTCCCGTCACCTTGCCACCACTGAAAGTAGCAATGGTCTTTCCTCGGGGAGCATCAAAGTGGTGACAAAGTTAGACTTTTTATGTATGTTTCTGGAATACATTCCATCTGACCATTCAGAAGCTCCAGATGGTTTCCATATTTCTGGGGGTCTGATCATCCTCCCCTTGACTTTCATGTTTTTCAGTTACAGCAGTGGCCTGACTCGTATACGGAGAAGTTTGTGCACAGAATCTACCCCATCACATTTTCCGTGGGAAACCCCCAGGAGTGGAGGAAGCTGTTCAAACCCTGTGCTGCCCAGAGACTCTTCCTCCCGGTAGGAACCCTGTTTCAATGAAGTGCCACTTGAGAGAGACTTGTCCCTGGAAATGGAGTGGGATTAACCAGAGCACATTTAGAGGCATTTTACAGCTAAAAATGTGTCTCTTGGATCTGTCTGTAGTCACTGCTCTTAGTCTTCATGGTGTAGAAAGAGGGTCCCTGAGTTTGAAAGGTTGTCTTTCCCAAAGATTGAGGGGCTAAGAGCATCCAAAGCATGCTTTGAATGATGGGTCTTTCTGACGCACACCATTTACTAGCTCTGCAAACCTCACAGCTCCCCTGTTGTTCTGCACCTAATTTGCTCTGTCAGCTTGACCCTCAGTAAATATTAGCTTTGATTATTGCTATTTTTTCTTATAATAGTAACTATCACTAGATATAGCCAGGCTAGGGAATAATTCAGAAAAGGTCCAGAGTTTTGGTGCAGCCTTTTGATTTTGAATTTTTAAGGTAATTTCAATTTCATTTTTAAAAATACTAAATAGAAAAATTACTGAACTTATATCAAAACCAAGACTATCAAGGAACATAGTAAGAAAATAAAAGAGTAAAATAACCAGAAAACAGAGTGAGGTGGGACTGAAAGGCAGGGCTGTGGGCTCTGGAGGCCCCGCTGAGTGTCTGCTCTCTGTGCAGGGCAGAGAGGGGCTGTGGACTGGTTTCTAGCATAGAAGTGGGATGATCTAACGTGTGGTTTAAAGAGGACACACTGGTCATTGCACACTTACTTAGCTGGATGAATCTCATTGATTGCTGAGGCCAATGAATGATGACTTGTGCTATAGTGGTTGCTTTAGAGATGGATTTAGAACCTGTGTGAGAAATAGAATTTATAAGTTTTTATGATTGGTTTGTTGTAAGAGTTGAAGGGAAGTGAGGTAAGAGGGATTTCACCCAGATTTCTGATCTGAAAAGGTTGATCTGTTTGAAATTGCCAATATTCAGCTATTTATGACCTACAAAAAAAGGCCATTTCTTATGGTTCAGTCTACTAAGTGAATGGTGGTGATATTTAGAGATGGAAGAGTCTAGAGAAAAATCTGTTTTGGCAACAGGGGAGATAAATGTGAGTCATATTTTGATTTTGGGGTGCCTGGGAGGCATCCGCAAAGGGAAGTCTTACCATCTGTTGGTCTGAAGCCCTGTATGGCAGGTGGGGTTTTCAGCATTTCTTACACAGAACCCGTGCAAAGAGCAAGGCCAGATGGGATTATATTTGTTGTCAGATGGGATTAAATGTATTAAAATGGGGGTATGAAAAAATAGCCTCAGATGGACACTAAATCTCTAGGTTGGTGATTTTAAAACTACCATTTAGGAAGATGAGAAAAAAGTTGTCAGGTTTCTGCTTATTGTCTTCATTTTGTATATAGCCAAATTTACTGTTGGAAAATTGTCTCTCAAACCTATCCAAAAAAATATTAGCAACACATTTTTTTCCCTGACCTTGAATTAAAAAAAAAAACCTACCACATGATGGTTTTCATTCATCCAGCTAAGTAAGTGTTCAGTTTTCAATGACAAATGGGCTCTGGCATTCTGCTTTTGTAATAGAAACTAGAGGTCCTTAAAAATAATAGAGATTGTGATTGACAGGACAGTTCTCTTTTCTGAGTCATCTCATAATAGCAGATTATGAACTTGACATTTTTGGACATCAGAGAGATGTAATTTGAAATAAAATTTAGGCGATGTTTTCCTTGAAATTCATCTCTATAAAACCAAATCAGGCATGCTGCTGAAGCAGCACAGAGAAGACAGAAGCCCCAAAGTATAAACATTCTGTAGGCGGTCTGTCAGTTGACTGAGAAGCACAGTCTTACTCGTTTTCTGAAGGGAGTCTCACCTACCTCACACCTGTGGAAGAAACCCTGTCTCGGGTAAGATTTTACTATGAGAATGATCAGAGTACAAGTCTTTGCAACTCAAGATTTTCAAGTGCAATCACTGGAATCTAGGTCTCACCAAGTCAGGATATCTGAATACCTAAATATCAATGGACATTTACTTTTCTAGTTCTGTGAAGAATGGTCCTGAGAGCAAGACCGTTACTGTGCACACTGAACTTCAGATAGCTCAATTAAGCCCTCCAAACTGCAGGTAATTCAGAAACTTAAAGTATTTAAAACAATATGCCAATTACAAATAAATAAAAAGTGTTAATTAAATTGATCCTGGAGGACTTTTTCCTTTTCCATTAGTAAAGGAAATAATTGAGTTTCATGAATCCACATCACTTTTTCCCCACTTAATAAGAATTAGTGAGATGTTTATAATGGATTTATGTCTTACGTTACACACTGTGCTTATTTGATTACAAAGACCTCTGTCTTCAATAATGTACTCCACTGGGGATCCTAGAGATATGTTAAATATGACAGAGATCACTGGTTGGAGAGTCTGCAGATACTTGGTCATGTGAGTTAGGTTAAGGTAAGGCACTATACAGGCCTCACCTAGGGAGAAAGGCTTTTTTAACCAAGTTTCAGTAAGTTCTAAGGTTATAATAATGTCTGGTGTCTTTCTGGCTTCCAGCACTTGCCTCAAGCACAAGCATCCATGTTCAAGGAAGGAGTTAGGGAAGAATATAGTCAAGAGAAACAGGATACAATTGCTTATAGCCTTGACCTATAAATTTGTCCTAAGAGTTTTCTTTTAAAAAAATTTATATTTTATTGATTTTTTTAGAGAGGAAGGGAGAGGGATAGAGAGTTAGAAACATCACTGAGAGAGAAACATTGATCAGCTGCCTCCTGCACACTCCCTACTGGGGATGTGCCTGCAACCAAGGTACATGCCCTTGACTGGAATCGAACCTGGGACCCTTCAGTCCACAGGCTGACTCTCTATCCACTGAGCCAAACTGGTTAGGGCAAGTTTTCTTCTTTTAATAATTAAAAAAATTTTCTATTATAGTTGACATACATTATTATATGTTTCAGGTGTACACCTCATTGCTTAGACATTACATAACTTACCAACTGATCATCCCAATAAATCTCACATCCATCTGACACCATACATAATTATCAGAATATTATTGACTACATTCCCTATGCTGTACTTTACATTCCCATGACTATTCTGTAACAACCAATTTGTACTTCTAAATTCTTTCACCTTTTTCATCCATCCCCCCAGCTTCTCTCTCATCTGGCAAATGTGTTTTGTATATATGAATCATTTATGTTCTGCTTGTTTGTTTATTTTTTTTAGATTTAATTGTTGATAGATGTATATTTATTTTATTGTTCATATTTTTAATATTTTTTCTTCTTCTTCTAAAAGAAGACCCTTTGACATTTATGTAACACTGGGTTGGTGGTGATGAACTCCTTTAGCTTTTCTTGTCTGGGAAACTCTTTATATGCCCTTTAATTCTAAATGAGATCTTTGCTGGGTAGAATAGTCTTGGTTGTAAGGTCCTTGCTTTTCATAACTTTAAGTATTTCTTGTCAATCCCTTCCGGCCTGCAAAGTTCCTGTTGAGAAATCAGCTGACAGTCCTTATAGGCAACTAACTGCTTTTCTCGTAGTGCTTTTTAAAAAATATATATTATTGATTTTTTACAGAGAGGAAGGGAGAAGGATAGAGAATTAGAAACATTTATCAGCTGCCTCCTGCACACCCCCCACTGGGGATGTGCCCGCAGCCAAGGTACATGCCCTTGACTGGAACGAACCTGGGACCATTCAGTCTGCAGGCCTACGCTCTATCCACCGAGCCAAACTGGTTAGGGCTCTTGTACTGCTTTTAAAGGTTTCTTTTTGTCTTTAACCTTTTGCATTTTAATTGTCTTGGTGTAGGTCTCTTTGGGTTCCTCTTGTTTGGGACTTAGCACTTCTTGGAATTGTATGTCTATTTTCTTGACCGAATTAGGGAAGTTTTTTCAAAAAGATTTTCAATTTCTTGCTCTCTTTCTCTCTTTTCTCCTTTACAAACAGCTCTTAAATATTAACAGAAATCAGCAATCACTAGAAATTGGAAGAATCCCTCTAATAGGACAGCCATCAAAACAAAGCGGAAACAGCAACTTAGAGAAAATAATATATATACAATGAATAAAACTTCTAAAGAAATTATCACTAGTACCCTCAGAAATAAAAGAAGATAATATATGAAGACACAAGATTCTGTAAAAAATATGAAACAGGATTAAACATAAATTCTTGTAAATTCAAAATATGATAACAGAAATGAATAACTCAATAGAATAATTGAAAGAAAAGGCTGAGGAAATTTTTGTGAAAGTAAAATTAAAAGAAGAAACAATAAAAACTAATTTAATAATGTCAATAAAATGATTGGAAAGTTAGAGGATAAGTACAACATCTCAACAAATAAGGACTTTGGGGTATGGCTGGGTTGGTTGGAGTGTTGTCAAAAGGTTGTGGGTTTGACTTCCAGTCAGGGCACATGCCTAGGTTGTGGTTTGATCCCAGGTTGGGTTGCGTACAGAAGGCAGCTGATTGATCTCTCTCTCTCTCTCTCTCTCTGTCTCTCTCTCTCTCTCCATTCCTTTCTCTTTAAAATCTATAACAATATATTCTCGAGTGAGGATAAAAAAATAGGATTGCGAGAGGGATGTCTGACTACTGGCGAGGGGTCCCAGACTGTGACAGGGTGCAGGCTGGGCTGAGGAACCCCTTGAGTGCACAAATTTTGTGCACCGGGCTTCTAGTGTAGAATATAAAATAAAAAATAAGACAAACAAACAAAATCCAAAAGATAAACTTATAGAGGCAGACAACAGATAAGTGGTTATCAGAGGGGAAGGGGACCTGGAGGGAGGATGCAATAGCTAAAGGAGGTCAATTGTATGGTGATGGCTGGGAACTAGGTTTTATTTGTGGTGAGTACAATGTTGAATTATAATGTTGCATTCCTGAAACTTACATAAAGTTATAAATCAGCGTTATCACAATAAATATATATGCATGTATATGTATACATTTGATAAGTTAGCTTCATTAAATCCAGGAAAGTTTAAAAAAA